CTACCACCACCAACTTCTCTGACAAGGATCACAGTAGAGGGTCCCGGACAGAGCTGGAGAAAAATGTATAATTCTAACTCATAAAAAAAAAAAAAAAAGACCAGACTTCCTGGTCTGGCAGAGACTGGAGAAACCCCAAGAGTATGGCCTCTGGACACCCTTATAGCTCAGTAATGAAGACACTCCTGAAGTTCACCCTTCAGCCAAATATTCACCAAAAACCTGTTGCCATCAAGTCAGTACCAACTCATAGCGACCCTATAGGACAGAGTAAAACTGGCCCATAGAGTTCCCAAGGAGCATCTGGTAGATTTGAACTGCTGACCTTTTGGTTAGCAGCCATAGCACTTAACCACTATGCCACCAGTGTTTCCAAATATTATGCCCATTTTAAAAAGAGAGACTAAATGGGCACACAAGCCTAGGGGCAAGGACGAGAAGGCAGGAAGGGACAGGAAAGCTGGTAATGAGGAGCCCAAGGTCGAGAAGGGTTGAGTGTTGACATGTCATATGACATGTTGGCAACCAAAGTCACAAAACAGTATGTGTACTAATTGTTTAATGAGAAACCAATTTGCTCTGTAAACCTTCATCTAAAGTACAATAAAAGATTATAAAAGTCAATAAATATTAATAAATGGATGCACTCTATTATCTTAAAAATTTGTAATGTCTTTTCTTCCTTCCTCAGCTCTGTGTCTCATCTGATACACACTGCTGATAATTAAGACCTTCCTACTTGTCCTAGCCCATGAGTTTTACTTTTAAAACTGCACTTTTGTTGGCATCTGCTTGTGAAAAAAAGTAAAAGGAATAAGCCTAGAACGGTGGCCATGTGGTTTTTCCTTTTTTCTGACCCCTCCCTCCTCAACTATAAATCTCAAAGGGATACCTTCCAATAGGGTTTCCCTCCTCTGGGCCCTTCTCTCTGACTCCATAGGTGATTACAGCCACCTGGTGGCCATATGGGGAAATGACAGGTGGGTTACCCCAAAAATCTCCGATGAGAGTAAGAACCTCTACCAAGTAATTTTTGGTCTTGGATTCACGAGGAAGCAAGTAAAGAAAAGCCTATAGATAGAGACTACAGCCAAGAGGACCCAGGCATCCTATTTTGTGGTCCCACCTTGCCTCCCAGGACACAACATCCTGTCCACTAGTTATTATAGACAGATGAATTCACTTAATATTTCATTCAAACAAAATTTATCGAGCAGCAACTGTGTGTCCAGCGCCAGGAATGCAGCAATGAACAAGATGGATAAGATCTCTAGCCTTATGAGCTTACAGTCTAGCAGCCAACCAGCCAATTATGTCCATAATTTTAAAATTACAGTTAGCATGTACTCTGAATGAAAAATGCATGGTGCTAAGAAAAGATTTAACAGAGATTGTTCCGGTTGCCATGAGTCAGAGTCAGAGTCGACTCAATGGCAATTGTTTTTTTTTTGGTTCTTGAACTAGACCAAGAAAGCAGAAGGCCTCCCTGAGGAAGAAACTTAGGATCAGCTAGGTGAAGAGTGAAAAGTGTTCCAAGCAAAGGGAATAGTCTACGTGAAACCTCTGAAGTAAGAAGACATTTAAGGAACTGAAAGCCAGCCAGTGTGGCTGGAGCACAGGTAACAAAGGACTGTCAGGAAAGGTAGGCAGGGCTTGAATTATGCAAGGTCTTGGATTTGGGACTTTATTCCAAAAACAATTTGAAGCCACTGAAGAATCTGAAGCAGGAAAGTTTGATGATTATGCTTGTTTTCCAAAGACCATTCTGACTGTAGTGCGTGGACGGCAGAAGTGGAAATGGGGGAGAGGTTAGGAAGCTTCCAGAACAGTCCAGTCAAGCGGTGTGGTGGTTTGGAGGAAAGAAAATGGATTCCAGAGATATTTAGGAGGTAGAATCTGCTAGGTGTGTGGGGAGAGGGATGTGTTTCTGGCTAGAAATACTGAAGTAGGAAATTGGAAGAAGGACAGGTTCAGGCAGGATAGTTTCACAGACACAGCCCTGAGGCTGGTGCAAAGAACAATCTACTTCAGTTCTTAAATAGTTCAGTGTTTAATTGAGCAAACAAGATACATGTGAAACAACTGCCGAGTTAATCATCAGAATGATTGGTTCAGATAATTCATGGACTCTACATTTCATGGGATTGAAGGGAAGCCCTTAGTCTCACAGTGAGATCAGATCCTGCTGAAGCCAACAAGGGTATCTCCATCTTTGTTCATACCTCTCACAGCCCCTCAGAAAACTCCCAAGCTTAGCTTAAGGCTACCAAATCTGGCCACTGCCCCCCATGGTTTTTCCCTTGGTCACCAGGAAAGTTTTCTGATACTTGGCTTCTCTCTTTACATAACCCCTGCCTCTCAAGCCCCCTCTTTCAGAGTCACCATCCTGCCAACTCAACCCTGTCTTCCTCGCCCTCCCTAAGGAGCACAGGCTCATCCTGAACATACTGTACTATTTGCCCCATTTTGTTCTCCCCTCCAACATGTCCCAATCCCCAGGCCCTTTCCCCACTCTTTTTTCCTGGAGTAAATACCCATTGTTTTGCCTCAAAAAGTCAGAAGGAAAGTTTTGCTATAGGATTAACTGGGAATTAGCCTCACTAGCTATTGCTTAGCTGACACCCTTCCCTGACTCCTCTCTGCCACTGGAGAACTCGGCTAACTCCCTTCCAAAGCCTATAACTGCAGAAAGAAGAGCGGCTGACTACATAACAGTGCCCCATTGTGCAACTGGCCTAAGACAAACCCACATCCCAAACACTTGATCTGAGAGCAATCATTAACAAATGTTAACATGAATTAGACTTTGAAACACTGCCTTTACCTTGAGAAGAACAAGCGCTTTGGACTTGGACAGACTTGGCTCTGATGGTTACTAACTAGTGTGCCTTTGTGTTATTAAATATTTCTAAGCCTCAGAAGACATCTGTAAAATAGTGGTAGTGGTATCCACCTTATTGGGTAGTTGTATTAAGGAGGATGTATAAAGCACCTAGCATAACATCCAGCTTGAATTACCTGCTAACCATTCACTTCCTTTCTTCCCCTGGGGTTTCAAGTGCCAAATACTATTCTCGAAGAGCGATAAGCCAGTTCTGTATGGTCAGTTATAGACATTTTCTATTCCTGTCTTTGTAAATTCCATCTTCCTGCATCCAACCCATTATTTCCATCATCACCAAAAAATTGTCTATACACCATCCCTGTGTAGAACTTCGGTTACTATCAAAAAGTTCTGCCTGAGCTCTGTCTGACATCCCCTTCTATGTCTTCCTAATCCAAGATATTCTCATTTCCTTGTATCATTAAAAATTAGTTCATTTCTACTATTCTCCCCAATTTTCTTGGAGCACATTGTAATAGAGCTGGGGAAGAGGACCTTTTTTGAACTGGACAGGCCAGTTCCCAGACAGGAGTGGATGTCTAGGTCCAGGCACTCCCCACCCCACCTCTTTTCCTTCAGGGCACAGAAACAGCCAAACTCAAAGTATGTCTTAAGTGTATGTAAGCATACAAATCCTTCCTTATAGCTCAGTGAGGTCATCGTTGAAGTAGAGCAGTAACGCAGGTGTGTAGAGTGTACTGTCCATGTTGAGCCAGTCAAATTCTTCATCTTCATCCCAGATTCCATTCTCCTCCAGGGTACTGTCCATTTTCAGGTTCTTCCCTTCATATTTCCATGTGTAGCTGGCAGCATGTGCGTTATAGGGGAGATAGCGGTGTAGGATTTCCCACATTGATTCCAGGGCTCCCACCTGGAGAACACGGAAGCACCCCACCCCCAGAATTCTGAATGGAACACACACCCAGGCCAAGCTAAGACCAAGAGCCCAAAAGATGATAGAGCTGGGATTAGAATGTTTCCCTGGGTAGATAGTAGCTTCAGGCACGCCACAGTCCCAGAAATGAAGTTAAAACTGCTATCTTCATGGCAGCCACTTCTAATAAACAGATGGCCCTAGAGGGTCAAAGCCACTCGCCACTCACCTCATCCTCACACTAGAGTAGAATAATAGCAGAGTCCAGCTGCTGTCTAAAACACAGCATGTAAGAGCTTCCAAGGGCCACATCACCAAGATTCATAACTGCTGTCCTGGGCCTATGAAGACCCAGACGCTATGTGACCTAGTCGCTCCTGGAATTCCCAACCCTGGGACCTAGGTGGTGTCTTTTCCTCAGTAGGCCCTAAAAAGTGAAAAAATACAGCTCCTACCGGGTATGAAGAGCTGATGCCCTCCCTGGAGATACGCCTGGAGGTCTGCCGGGATTCCCAGTTCCCCCTAAATTGCCCCTAGCCCCTAGTTCTCACCTCCAATGTGTGCTCCTGTGAAGTGAGCGTGTTAATGATGCGGATGTGCCGGGTCTTCGCGGACAGTCGCCCTACCTCATAACGCGACCCCTGCCACCAGGGCTTCCCGAAATCATTGGCCCAGTCCGAACGGGGTAGCTGAGGAGGAACGTGCAAGAAGCGGCCCCGCGGGGTGCTGTACCTCAGAGCGCCGGTCAGAGGATCTATGTGCTTGCGGATCTTGAAAGCAGGGTAGGGGGAGCAGAGGTCGGAGCAGTCAATCTCGGCCTCGGGTTTTTCCTTCCCACCCCCGCTCTCCGGCGCCCCTCTCCGCAACCCCGGGTTCCAGCAGAACTCACGTCTTTGGTCTTTGGGTCAAACCAGTGGCTGATGTCCTGACCTGCAACTTCCACGATGGGTTTCAGCAGCAAGTCCCCTGGGAAGGAGCAGCCTCCGTCACTGCCAACCATCCAAGAACCAGGCATCCCCAGACACACAATCCGGCCCCGGCCCCGGTCCCACGTTTGGCCCTTACCCTTGTGCTCCTGTGCCAACGGCGTTAGATCATACACGTAGCCCAGGTAAGACACCCAAAGGTCCTCGGGCCGGTTGTGTTGGGCCACCTCCGCCGGCGTGAAATAGCGACGCTGGAAAAATTCAAAGTCTGGTCCGGCCACTAGGCCCCGGCGCGGCATGGCTCTAGCTCTGTAGGTCACCGTCTTCAGTTGCTTCTTTGCTCCTCCGCAAACTCTCCCAACTACATCCACCTCAAGTTCAGGAACTAAGGGGAGCGCATTTACCCGCTGACATGGAAACCATTGTCCTTTTCCGGCCACCGTCCACTAAATTAAATATGCGTCGGCAAGGGGTGGGGCTTGGGCTGCAAGTGCTCGCGGGAAATGTAGTGTGATTCCGGAATCTGGCACCTAAACCCAAACCCATTGCCGTGGAGTCGATTCTGACTCATAGCGGCGGGGGATATTTAGGACAGACTATCTCACGAGGCAGGAAAAAAAGGAGGCAGAGGGTTATGAAAGAAGGTATTCTCGTTAAATTCCAGGTTCCCAAAATGTAGGAGAGAAATTTCTCGCGATATCTTAAGACATTCTGTGTAATAGGCCTCAGCCACAGCTTCGGAGTAGAACAAACTCGCGAGATCTCTGCAGTTGTCCAGGAGACTAGGAGGAGAAGGCAAAAAGATCTCGCGAAAGGAAAAGACGTCGGGAGCGCTCGCGAGATCTGAAAGCAGCGGACCCGAAAGGTTCTCAGGAAGTTGAAGGGCCCGGACGAGGCCCCAGGGCAAATGGCCGGAGCTGGGCCGACTATGCTGCTACGAGAAGAGAATGGCTGTTGTAGCCGGCGTCAAAGCAGCTCCAGCGCTGGGGTTAGCGTGGGCTCAGGTTCTGGGAATGAGGGGCAGTCGGGTAGCAAGATGGTGGGGGGGGGGACTGCAGCTCCCGGCAGCCTCTGGGCTTCGTGTGAGCGCCCCGCGGGCTGCCGGGAGCTGTGGTTACGCGGGCCTCAGGCCCGCCGGAGCTGCGCGGTCTGAGCGCGTGTTTCGCCCCGCCCAGGACTCGGATGGGGAGCGCGAAGACTCGCCGGCTGCGCGCGCTCGGCAACAGCTGGAGGCACTGCTTAACAAGACAATGCGCATTCGTATGACTGACGGACGGACTCTAGTCGGCTGCTTCCTTTGCACCGACCGCGACTGCAATGTCATCCTAGGCTCGGCGCAAGAGTTCCTCAAACCGTCGGGTCAGTGGCCGGGGAATGCACACCTGCCCGGGGAATGCGGCGGGGCCTAAAGCAAGGCACTTCCCCTTCACGCCCCGGTTGCACCCCTGGTTTTCTTGGGCTTGAAGTCGTGGTTCAGAAGGGGCAGGACTGACCCTGGCCTGCCTCCCTGATGCTCTGACTCTTCTTTCCAGATTCCTTTTCTGCCGGAGAACCACGTGTGCTGGGTCTAGCTATGGTACCCGGACACCACATCGTTTCTATTGAGGTGCAAAGGGAGAGCCTGGCGGGGCCTCCGTATCTCTGACCACGGGTCGCGCATGCCTATCAGACTTCATTAAACCTGTGACCTAAGTCGCCTGTGTCTGTGTGTAGCCTGGACGGGGGTTGCACGCCCACCCCTAGAGCAAAGGGTTATTCCGAGGTCCAGACTGGGCCAACCTGAACGTCCAGAGGTGCCAAATGTCTCTCGGGTTCGGAAGAGGAGGGGCGGTTAGAGACAGGCGGAGCTGAGGACAAACAGTCCCTAGGGTGGACTCCTGCATCGTCCCTCCCACACTGCTGCTCCAGAATTGTGGCGGGAGGGGTGTCATCCTGCTCCGGAAGGCCCATTGTTTCCCTCCCCGGCCTGGCAACACCGAGTTCCTCTGAGCTGAGGTCAGAGAACAGGCTCAGGTCCCCAAGGGGAGTAGGGCAGGGGGCCGAGGCTGGCCTCTCCACTCAGTTGATGGTGAGGTGACTCTGGGGTCAGGGACAGAGCTCTGGGGTCTGGCCAGGAAGAGTCTGCTAATGCGATAAGAGAAGGCCAGGAGGCTGAAGAAGGATGCTCGCGTATCCCCCCCCGGCACGCTTTTCCTGCCTCTGGGCACCAGGCAGAGATGATATTTTTGCCGCCTCTTTGGCCACAGGATGCCAGAAGGTATTCAGTTCGCTAATTCTTTATTGATGTGTAAACACTCCAGCCCCACCCCCACCCCCACCGCCTTAAATGCTGGCGGAGTTACTTCAGTGAAGGCAGGCGCAAGATTCAGTTGTCCTATTCACGATAACAGGGGCCAGAGGGGGAGTAAGGTGTGCAGGCTCCAGCCCAGATGTTCAGGTTCTGGTGTGGGAAGTGAGAGGAAAGTGGTTTTTCTTGGGTGTGCCGGGTTTTTACTAGCATTGGGTCCACAGACTTTGCTGTTCCCGAGGGGATGCTGCAACCTGACTCAGGCACGAATGGGGGCAGGTCGGGAGATTCCGGGGCTTCAAGTTCTTGGACCGACTGGGAGGGACAGCAGTCATCAGGGGTTGTTCTTGACTCGAGGGTCCTCAGACCCAGACCTTCCCTGATGTGGGAAGTGCCTGGGCCCCTGATGAGGCTCGGGTTTGCCGCGGCTGCGGGGCACGCCGGCGCCGATAGAGGGCTCGGCTGTAGGGCACGAGGCAGTCGGCCAGGCGGAGGCGCAGGCACAGGCGGCGGTAGCTGGCCAGGGCAAGTACGAGAAGCGGCACGAGGAGCAGGAAGCCGGTGACCAGCAGGGCGGTGAAGCCCGGATCCCTCAGGTGCGCGGTGCAAGGGGGTGCCTGGGAGCGCAGGAACTGTGGGAGAACGGGGCGGAGGGATGAGGCCCAAGCGGACCTGGGCCAGACAGTGCACTGGGCAGGAACAGCACAGGAGGGGACAGTTTGCGGCCCAGAGACCCATCATCATCAGTACACACGCACACAGTTTCGCACACTCGGGGCGCACGCTCACCTGGGAGTGGCAGAGGAAACCGAAGCCGAGCATGGTGACAGCGGGTAGCAGGATGGTCCCCAGGACCAGCGCCAGCAAGAGCAGGTTGAAAGCAGCCACCAGCAGGTTCTGGGCCGTTACCAGCACAGCACATGCCCAGCAGTCCAGGGGGTCCCGGGGCTCTGGGCTGCCGCCGGGCACCGGTCGCTGCGCCCCGGGAACATCCGCCATGGCCCGCCTAGCTCCCGCCCGCCTGGGCCGCGGCCCTTATAGCCCTCTTTCCTGCCCCTCCCCCGGCCCGGCCTCTCCCCACCCCCCTTATCCTGGAATGCGGCTGTAGGATTAGGCACCCCCCCATCCCGAGGAGGGGACCAGAGCTCTGGACATTCCATAGGCGCCTCCAGGGAGGGGCTCGCCCCCTCCGGGGTCTGCGCAGTCCCTCCCCATCAATCATGGCCTTCCCGCCCTCCTCCCCGTACCCTCCCTGCTATCACCAGCACGTTATCAAAACAGGATTTTTTTTGCTTTTATTTTTAATATTAATATTCTCACACAAAAAATCACCAAAAATAGGGATAGGGTGGGAAGACCCCTCTGCCCCTGGGGCAGAGAGACAGTGCAGTGAGAGGGGGCGGGACTGTAAACCCCCCGCCCCTCCGCAGCCCCAGCTTGGAGGAGAAAAAAACAACCAAACGAAATTAAAGCCCCAGAGAAACTCACCCCGGGTGTCCCTGCCCCAGGGGGAACATGGCCCTGGGCTGTTTCACGCTTCAAAAAAAAATTCGTGTTTAAAATTGGCCGGGGCTGGGAAGGACGGGGTTTCTTTTCCTCATAGTTCTTTCTTTAAAACTTTTAAATTTTTTTATTTTATTTTTTTTTTACAAAATACCATTTCAGTTCCCACTTCTTCCCCTACAGTACAGGAGTCGCTCACCCTCAGGCGGGGTTGGGGTCGGGTCGGGAGTGGGGGGACTGGTCCGAGAAAGTGCAGGACGTAGGGGAGGGGAGCGGGTTTGAGCACCATGAGAACCCGGCAGGAGCCGCGGACGGGCGGGCGGAGACGGACAGGCCGGGCCCGGACACACACTCTGGGGCGCAGGGAGGGCCCGGCAGCGGGCGGTCCCAGGAGGGGCAAGCGGGATGGCTTAGGGGAGAGGGAGGTTGGGTTTTCCCAAAAATGAATAAATAGAGGTGAGTGGGACTGTTATAAATTAAAAACAAAAACAAAAAACAAAAAAAAAAACCCAGAAAATACAAATCATAACCGAGTGAATAAACAGAGACATGTACAGGGATCACAGCTAGCATTGGAAGTAAAAAAAAGTTCTGCGGGAAGGGTAAAGCCCATAGAAAGAATCTCATTAAAAACCTCGGCTGCCGTAACGTCTATGTACATACACGACCCGCGTGCGCGGGCGGGCGGCTGGCAGGCGTGAGGGAACCCGTATGTGACCCCCGCAGCCGCCGGAGCCTGGTCCTTGTGTCTGTTGCTAGAAAGGCCAAAGTCGGTGAGGGGAGGCGCTGGCGGACAAGGGGCTGCCAGCCCCCTCCCCGCCTCCCTTTTTTTTTTTTTTTTTTCCTCTTGTTTTTAAAAAAAAAATTACTTTTTAAATAAATTAAGTGAGGGGAGCTGCCAATGGGGTGGAAGGGCTGGGCCCGACACCCTTCCCGGCCCGAAGCAGGACCTAGGTCCAGCCCAGGCGTGTGCTGGTGGCCCCGCGGCGCCCTGCGTGGGTGGGCAGGCGGGCGGGGCGTCCGGCCTCATCGTGATGTGCTAGCTGGGGCCTGCAGGGAGAAAACAGGTGGGTGGCTCGAGGCAGGCGCCAGGGGACCACCCCAAACCGCCATCCGGCTCGCTCCGCCCCCCCCCCCCCCACCCGCACGGCCGGGCTCACCAGCGTGAAGGCGTCGTAGGCCTGCGCCAGCTCCTCAGTGCGGTACTGCTCCAGCACCACCACGCCCTGCAAGCCCGCGCTGCGGCGCCGGGCACAGCCCTCGCAGTGCACCAGGTAAGTGTTGCGGCTGCCGTTCTCACTGGTCACGAACAGGATGTTGAACACCTCCACCTAGGGCAATGAGGAGGAGGCGGCAGTGAGGAAGAGGAGAGGCCGCCGTGGGCAGCAGGGGGAGAGGGGAGGGCACTCACATCGCACTCGTTGCAGTAGTAGGCGGGCTCGTCCTTGACCCGGCCCTGGTAGGCAATTTTCTTCCCTGCCCGCACAAGGCTCTCCCGCTGCACCTGGCAGTGCTTCATGGACTGCAGGAGGCAGAACCTGGGGAGCGGAGAGGTGGTGGTGAGGCAGGGCTGCCAGCAGAAGGGAGGAGGGCAGGCTGGAGGACAGAGGGGCACAGCCACCCGAGATCTCAGCTCTGTAGCCCTCCTCCAAAGGCCTCCCCCACTTCATGCCTGGGTCCAATCCTCTGTCCTAGGTCTCCTAGCATTTCAGAGCTCTGCCACAGTTGAAATTTCATTCGTATTATTTGCCACTGGAAAATAAAGCTCATAAGCTCTGGGACATTGTCAGCCACCTTCAGTGCAGTATTCTCAGCACACACTGCATGGACACATGGTAGACAGGATGGAGAGACAGGAATGGGATAGAGTCAAGACAGGAAGAACACGAGCAGGGACCGGAACAAGCAGAGATGGGCTCCCACTCAAACAGGGTCCTCACTTGATCATCTTAAACAAGTCGGGGTCGCTGATTTTGACAGTGCGAGCCACGTTCCAGGATACGTGAATCATGGGCACAATGGACTTGACGTTCTTCACCTCGTTCCACTCATATCGTTCCAGGGCCAGCTGGTACTGATAGGCTGTGGGCCAGAGGGGTTACTACAGGATTCTTAAACAGCCCCCAGCCACTTGAGACCAAGCCCCCGCTGGGGCCCTTCAAGCCCACGCCCCGAAGGGATCCCTCCCCATCGGCCCGCCCCTTGCCACTGAGTGGCTCTGCACCACCCCATCCTCTCACCAGTGAGGGGCCCCACGTTCCAGGCAATGTTGTTGCACCAGCCGGTGGCCTGCACCCAGTGCACGGTCCCCGCGTTGATCCACACGAGGTCTCCAGGACGCTGCACGAAGCGGTACACAGGAATATTGGAGGCGTAGAGGTCATCCAGAATTGGCCACCAGGAGCCTGTCAGGTAGTCCACGCCGTGCCTGCAGGTGGCAACAGGGTCAGGGGGGAACCTGAGAACCCAGGGGCGGGGCGCGGCGGCGCGACTGGGGGGGGGGGCGGCGCGCACCGGTCACAGAAAGCGCTGATGGTCTCCCAGTAGTGCTCATGCACTGCGAACCACTCGCAGTCGCCTGGGCCGATGTTTATGTTGACAGAGCAGAAGTTGTTATTCTCTTGATGGCCTGCGGGGGGCAACAGAGCGGCATGGCCGGTCAGACCGGAGCCTGAACTCTGCAACAACCCCACCCCTCGCTCCTCATTGGCTGACCGTAGAGGCGGTCAGCTCCGGGTGCGGACACCTGCCCCTCCCCTCGTGCGCTTCCCGCACCAGCGCGCACGCGCGAAGAGCGCACCTGGCGTACGGCTGCCCGGGACCTTCATGTACAGCTGCACCGTGTTCATGCCCAGAATGGTGTGGCCCACATGGCTCAGCATGTTGCCTGTGGACGTTACCCGCATGAAGGCGGGCAGCTTCAGCAGCTCCTGCAGCTGGGGCTTCCACCTGCAGTGGTGAGGGTGAAGCAAAGGTGAGAAGGGCCTGGGCTACCCGCAGCTCGGCAAGCCCAGCAGCACTCCTGCCCCAACCAGGCTGGCTTCAACCCGGCCACACTGACCGCTTGGCGTCGGACAGGTCGATGTTGGTGCCAAACTTGATGATGTGATGGTTCTTCGGGTCTGGCGCACTGCTGCTGGGGTGAAGAGCACAGGTCAGTGGAGGAAGCAAAGGGAAGGGAAGGCGTCGTAAAAGGAATGGACAAAACCGTACCTAGGAGGGGTTCCTGTGGTGCTGTCCGGCTCCTCCGACTCCTCATCCTCACTTTCCTTCTCCTCCTGCTCGGCCAGAAGAGTAGCCAGGCCTGGGTCAGTGGCCTTCCAGGAGCCCTCCCACCACACCCTCAGCTCCAACTCCCCTGACCCCAGCACCTGGCCTCTGCCCGGCCTCGCCTCTCACCTGCAGGGACTCCTGGAAGGACGAGGCCTGATACTGCGCATACTTGGCAATGGTGGTGTGGGAACGGGAACTCTCACAGGGCCAGATCTGGCGTGTGCCCGTCAGGTCCCAGTTCTCATCTGAGGGCTGCTGCACCTGGGTACGCACCTCCACGGTGTGCTCGCCGCTCGCCTCCACCAGCGTCTTGGTGGAGAAGAGGCCCAAGTCTGCGAGGGAGGGCCGTGCAGGGCGTCGGGGCAGAGGCAGAGGGCAGGGGGCAGGGACCCAACTCACCCTTTCCCTTCTGACTCCCAGCAGCCCCTGGCAGGGTGGACACAGGCTCAGCACAGCTCAGCCCAGGACAAACAGGTAAAGACCCCAGCCCCACATGCAGCTGGGAGATTGGTCCGCCCAGGGCCCAGTCTTTGCCTGGATCTTCACTCCCTCAACCCCCCATGCCCCTCCTGAAGCTGCTCCAAGCCTCAGCCCCTCTACCAGAGTCCTCGGGGCTGCATGAGGCCACATGGGCACAGAACCAGGCACACAGTAGGAGCTCAATGAATGGCTGCTTCTTTAAGTTATCATTGGGTCCCATTACAATGAGAGCCTGGAGTGTGCTTCAAATAATTCACTGGGGGAGAGGGGTGGCTATGGCTATAGAGGTGGCCATGGGTACAGAGGAAAGAAAATTTTCTGTGTTCATGCTATGTCTTCTACTTTTGCATGTATTTGAAATTTGGTACCATAAAAGATTTAAGAGAGAAAGCCCCAGATTATGGGTTTTCTACACTCTGTATGCTTCTGTTTAATTGCCCAGAAAACCAGAAGTGACTCTAAACAGGCCCTGACATACATCCCCTTCCCATGTGGGGATGGACAGACAGGAAAAAAGTGCAAGGCTGGCCCAGCACCCCGAGCACTTCTCAGGGTCTTCTCAAGCAGGAGCTCTCTTTGAGGGTCCCACAGCCCCAGATCCCTAGTCCTCCCCATACCACTCTGCCCCCTCCACACTCACTGAGCCGCAGAGAGCCTGCCAGGCCCCGGATCACGGTGATGGGATTTCGAGGGTCTGTACAGAACTGCAACAGCACTGGGGAGAAGGCGTCCCGTTTGCTCTC